TCAATTTTGTAAGCATTATTCAAAAACGCTTGAATGATTCAAAATGAGACTTCCTAATTAGGGGACCATCTGCCCTAAGTCCTATGTTTTTGATCCATAGGAAAAATAACCTTCCACACATAATCTCCAATAAAAAATGTTTTCACCTTAACCTTTTTATTATAGGCCTTAACTACTCACTCTTTTTCCCTTATCAAGACATATAATGCAGCCAACCTCTCTTCATCTAAATTAACCAATTCATCCAACATCATATTCCAGTAATGATCAGATGGAATCTCATTTTTCCTTTGACTCGAGTCGAGTGCAAATATATTTCGATAGGTAAGACATCCTCATGTTCGTAGGTCAATTGAAAAGGAGAAGTGTTTGCTGCTTCTTTAGAAGATGTTCAACATGCCCATAAGACTTGGTCCAAGGTTTTATGCCAATTCCATGGCTTCTTCCCTACACGTCTCTTGATTGGACCAATGATAATTTTATTGGATTCCTTGATACGACCATTTTCTTAGGCATAATAAGGTGTATATGTTAATAACTTAATTCCCATTTCAAGGGAAAATTCTTGCATCTTTCGACCAGTGAACACCGATCCCTGATCAATAATAATGGTGTCAGGGATTCTGAATATATAACTAATGTGTTTTTGGATTAAATCTATTATTTTTTCTTGGCCGGGATTGATTAAAGGAATCACTTCTATCCACTTAATAAAATAGACAATACCAACTAAAATATACTTCTAACTTTTAGAAGATGTTGGTCAAATCTCACCAATCAAATCCAAAGCCCAACCTCTGAATAGTCGTGGTTTCAAAGTTGCATGTAACTCGCTTGCAAGAACATGTTGAATGCCTGAATGTATATGACACTCTTGACAACCCTTGGCAAGCTCAATCCAACCCTTTAGCATGGTGGGACAATAAACGCCTTGTCGAAACAATAACCATCTCATTTTATGCCCGACTTGATGGGCACCACAAGCTTTACTATGGACATTTGATACTGCTAGATAGCCTCACTTTCACCAAGGCACTTGAGAAAAATACCTTCAGGAGTCTTCTTGAACAATTTGTTCCCTATGGTTACGTAGCTTAGATATTTGTACTTAACCTTTTGATTAGTTGATCCTGTTGGACTTTTTAGATATTCAACTATTGGTCTTCGCCAATCATTATCTGGAAAACTTTAAATGGCAAAAACCTCAAAGTTTTCAGGATCTCTTGATCACAACTTCTTCATTAAACGAATCCAAAGGAGACAACCTTGTCGACCTTACTCTTCCTCGTGCTTCAATCAAATCTTCTAGTTTTTCTTTTGACACTTTGTACCCTAAGGCAATTTATGTCAACTCATTTGCCTCTTAATTTTCTAGTCCAGGGACATGCTGAATGTCCATAAAATCGAAGCACTTAAGTAGTCTATTTACTATAACAAAGTACATGATTAAGTTTTCCTTAATACATTTGTACTCCTGTGTTATTTACTTAACAACCAATTCAGAGTATCCTCTTACTTTGACTCTTTTTGCCCCAAGTCTAACAAATTTTTTAGACCATCTATCGAAGTCTCATACTCGGCCTCATTATTTGAGCAAGACTAGTCAATTTTTTATTTGAACTTCGTCAGAATCTTATTAGAAGAAATTATTAAACTTCCAATACCAGTTCCATTTTTATGGCTGGAACCACCGAAGTATAACTTCCAAGGTTCTGGCTCTAAATAATATTGGGGTGCGTCGACTATCGCATGATCCATGATGAAGTTGGTGACCACATGCCCCTTCATTGCCTTTAAAGGCACATATGTTAGGGAATACTTTGTCAGGGAAAGGGCCCATTTTCCAATTCGACTATGTGAAATTGGCTTAGATAACATGTTTTTAATAATATTAAAATGTGAAGAGACATAAATATCAACTAGTTTTGTATAGTGTTTTAACTTCATACATGAAAAATACAAGCAAAGACACATATTCTCTATCATACTATACATATTTCTTATTCATTTAGTTCTTTTTGCTTGTTATATGATTTTAAGTTATTGTGCAGTGTTGGATATACAAGCATTTTCCGACCATTTGTGATAGGCGAGTTATGCCTACTACTGCTATGTTCGTACGTGCCAAGAGATGGAGAGGAAAAAATGCACATCTAGGAGGTGTTGCGGAGAACATGAGGATGATTGATGAGCTTATTGTATATAATGCCATATGGACACCCAATGTAGTCCATAGAGTTCATTGTCCATAGAGTTCATTATGAGTTCGACGACATTTCAGTGCATCCCGAGAGGTGTATGCACCAATTTGGATATTTCAAGGACATCCCGCGACCAATTACAACTATTCCATCTGAGGGCGTTAATAGCTAGTTTGTTTCTCATTGTTTGAGTTTTGCACGTGCCATTAGAGATCATGCAGTGTGGGTTCAGTTCCTTGTTGTTCGCATATGTTTTTAGCATAATCACAATTTAATTCACTTGTGAGATTAACTTGAAAAATCTCATAAGCAATATGTGAAAAATAAATATACATGGAAAAGTGTTTGTGAATTAAATGTGAATGTATGTAAAAAGACAAAATGGACACAAACTTTAATAACGAAAAAGCTTGGATTAAGGTAATAAACGGAAAATTGCAATAAATGACATTAAACATAAAACGCAGTAAATGACAATTAAAGTAAAATGTTTCAATTAAGGAAACATGAAAACAACAAAACTAAGGGACGTAGACTCATACATGTTTCTCACAAACTGTTTCGCTGTTTGACTCATGTACTATAGTTCTATAGAGAAATATATGAATTTTGCGACCTCGATTATAATGCAGAAGCATGTTATTTGTACTAATCTAAAGATAACCACCTCTGACAATTTTTCCCTAGAAAGTGGACACATATTAAGAACACGCACTTCAGTCTTCTGAAGTACCTTCATGTTGTTAGAACTTGTAAGCAACTGAAAACCATTATCCCACGTTCATAACTACTCCAAGCATACCGCTTCCTTCTTATCGAAGGTAGTTTGTGAAAAACTCTAGCGCGCCGAGACAACTTTCAAGTATTTGGATTCCAAAATATCCTAATTCCCGAACGTCTGTCAAAATATTAGCTAGATCTGTTTTTAAGATTCTTCCAAAGTATGTTCATCACGCTAGTCAAAATGCTCAAGTCGACATCTATGTTCCTATCAAAGGTTGTCAATAGATACTAACATTTTGTATTTCCTTAAAACATCATTCTTCGTTGAATTTTCTATAACTAGAAATTCCAGGCTAATACTTGCGGAGTGTGTGGATGGGTACTTGGAGTGGTACCTTATTATATCACACTCTCACATCATCCCACATAGGAAATATGGAAATGATGCGAGACCTTCTTATGTTGGATCTTCACAAGCTGGATCTTCTCATGCCGAGGCTAGGGTACCTTCCAATGACGGGCAATCTCCTCCATCGCTTTCACATGATATTTTATCCCATTTTTTAAGATAAAATCTTAAAACCTCCCATTTATGCCGAGGCTAGGGTACCTTCCGATAAACATAGAAAATCTTAAAACCTCCGTAATTTATTTAATATATTGAGTTTTTCTAAAAAAATCTAGTACACCAGATTTTTTATATAGACTATCAGATTTTTTGTTCTATACCGAATTTTTTAATTTGGTTTATCAAATATTTTATCCCATTTTTTAAGATAAAATCTACACAAATAACATAGATATTATAAAAATATATAGAGATGTCAGATGTAACCAAGGAGATGGTAAGATAAAATCTCCTAATAAGTGTGTCAATTTGCTTAGTGGAGCATAACATGGTCCAAGAAAAGGCTTATACCAACTCTAATGGGAGTTCTTAGAGTGGGTTTGCCAACATGGCATTCATATTTGTTGTTTCCAAGATTGCCATGTTATTGAACGGTTCTTAATTAAGCAACGGTTCTTCAACTGTTCTTATATTAAAATATTAATTTTATAATATAAAAATTATAATTTAATATAAAATTTTATTTATCATTTTAATTATCATATGAAAATTATAATTACAATATTAAAATATTGATTTTATAATATGAAAACTATATTTTAATTATAAGTTTAAATTATAAGTTTAATTTGAATTTTATTTATTTTAATTTTTAATTTTAATTTTAATTTTATTTTATATCAAATTTAATTTAAAACACTAAAATTAACTAAGGAGAGATTGAAATATTTTTTAAAATTTAATCTAATTTTTTTTAAGTTTATATAGTAGAATGAAATATTTTTCCTTAAAACAACACTATATACCGGTTGGACTATATAGTAGATTGAAATAATTTTCTGTAAAAAAATTAAAATTATTATTTTAAATGATATAAAATTTAATATGAATAAAATATTAACATATAAAGTAAACTTGTGGAACCCAATATGAGTTCTTCAGAATTGCACTATTGGAGTAAAAAATTAGTTGAGTTGCTTCAAGCTGACGTGGCTTAATAGGTTCCACAAAAAACTTAAAAATGAGTTCACTGTTAGAGATGCTCTTACTACGTACATGAATGAATGAAGAGTAGACTAGTCAAGGGTCTGTTGTCTTGTTTCGTAGTACATGTTGACTCTGTTTCCGATTAGCTGGCCAAACACTGTCCTGTTGTGATATTATGAGTATCATTAAAAGCAATAATAACAACCAAGAAATATCAAGGTGAAAAATTATGAAAACGTGCCGCACAATCCAATGGAATTAATTTGTTTCCATAAGAATTAGTCCTAACAACTTAATACAACAACGCGTTTATCAATCTAGCTGGGACCTCACTCTAGTCTATTCTCCCCACTTTTGTTTTACCTCACCAGTCAACCCGTCACTAATACGCTCTCTTTCCCTCTTTCCTTTTCCCTTCTAATTTTCCATATCACCTATAAATACCACCCTCCACATATCTATCTCCACAACCTCAAATCACTTTTCTATCCTATATTCATTCAAATTTAATTACTGCTACAATGACTTCTTCAAGTCTTCTGCTCAGCCTAATCCTAGTAGTCTCTCTTCTCCATTTCACCTCAGCATCAAGAAAACTAACACAAAACAACCAACAACTAAAATTTCAATACCACAAAGGCCCTCTTCTAACCGGAAAAATCTCCATCAATCTCATCTGGTACGGTAAATTCAAACCTTCCCAACGAGCCATAATCTCCGACTTCATCACTTCCATTACCTCACCAACCCTCACAGCCCAACCATCAGTCGCCACGTGGTGGAAATTCACCGACAAATACTACCACCTTGCAAACTCACAAAACATCGTCCTCACAACAGGTTCACACTTCCTAGACGAGAATTACTCATTCGGAAAATCACTAACCAATGATCATATCATAAAGCTAGCATCCAACGGCTCACAAACAAACGCCATCAACGTGGTTCTTACTTCCGCCGACGTCGCAGTTGATGGGTTTTGCTCCAGTAGGTGTGGGACTCACGGTTCTTCGGTGAATACCAAATTCGCGTACGTGTGGGTGGGTAATTCGGAAACACAGTGTCCGGGTCAATGTGCGTGGCCTTTTCATCAACCTATCTACGGGCCACAAAGCCCGCCGTTAATTGCTCCAAACAACGACGTGGGTCTTGACGGCATGGTGATCAACGTGGCTAGTTTGTTGGCTGGGACGGTTACGAACCCATTTGGTAATGGTTACTATCAAGGGCCCAAAGAAGCACCTCTTGAAGCTGGTTCTGCTTGTGCTGGAGTGTATGGTAAGGGGGCTTACCCGGGTTACGCTGGGAACCTCTTGGTGGACCCCACAAGTGGTGCTAGCTATAATGCTAATGGTGTCAATGGAAGGAAGTATTTGTTGCCCGCACTCTTTGACCCGACTACCTCGGAGTGTTCTACTCTAGAATAACAAAAATTTTGTTCAAATATACTATAGGAAACTACGAAGTATATTCTTTTTCTTTTTGGTTGAAAATAATATTCTTTTCCTTTTTCGTTGAAAATATACGGTGAATTCTTTTACATGTTTCTTGATTCGGTGTTACTCCCGATGAATAAAACTATGAAATTGGCTGTACCAAAAAAAAGTAGTAGTATGAAGTTTGATGCAACATTAAAGAAAAACAATATTGATGTGTTTGGAGGCTTACATCTAGTTTATACAATTCTATAATAAGGAGGGGTGTAATAACGGGTTGGACTCGAGTAAAAAAATGTAAATTATTAATAATTAATAATTTTGGGTATATTTTAAAATGATAAGAAAATATGGAAATAAATATTAATTTTTGAATTAAAAAAAGACAACACTTATAAAGTATGGTAGTATATTTTAATTCAAAAATAAATAACATTTGTAAATTGTTGCAGTAAATTTTAATTTGAAAATAAGTAATTGTTCTTACTAAACATTATTGGTAGAAACCTCCCAGAGGCTAGTTAGGTGAGGTTACAATCGTCCTATTTTGTTATGAGTAATTAGTTATCCCTTCCTCATTGGAAAATCTTCTTTTTATACTTGTTTACTCCTCCAGGGCTCACCCAAGGATGCCCCTTCATTTTCTATGTTAAAGCCACTTCTGGTAACGTCCGACGTCCTTCCTAACTCTCCAGTAACGCCTCTACCATCAATTTCTATAACTCTCATGCAGTCATATGTGATTGTTCACATCACCTTTTGGTCCTTTCAAGAGACTGGATCCTACTTAAAGGGAAATATGCAATTCAAAATGTAGCGGAAAATAAAAATTTTCCTTTATTGATCCTTACGAATGGTCATGATCAGTGATAGATGGTCATCTCTTGTGGCTATGAAATCTTTGATTCTGAATCGAATGAGTGATCACAAACGATGTATGATGAACAACGCCTCTACTCAGTCCATACGAACAGATTCCTTCAGTCTCAATGCTAACTGCTACGGTTGAAGGCTTTGAGTGAGAGAGAGAGAGAGAAGGAAAAATATGGCTAGGGTTTCACAATCTGAATTTTCATCAAGAGTGTATACTTCTGCACAAGGGTTCTATTTATAGAACCACTTGTGTGCGATGCAAGCTAGAAAGCTCACTTAAGTGTATGCACACCATATCTTATGGTGTACCATATATCACCTAAGCGTGTGGTACCTTACCATATTCCGTATTCTACTTAAGTGCACTGTACCTTACGATGTTATATATTTACTTAAGTGCAACGTACCTTACGATATTCTTTATTTACTCTACCTCTTATCAACCTGTCCTTGTGTGTTTGACCCTATAGGTTTTCGCGATGTTGACAATTATATTAAATCACACATTTAACATAATAAACAATGAGCGATATCTAGTAACACATCACTGCTATCCAAATCACAAAAATGTCATGTGATATGACAAAACCTTTTATGATAATACTTGTGTGTATAATTACCCTTTTGCCCTTATGTGTATATTGAACACAAGACATATAACGTATCATCCTTGTCCAGTTCAATATTGAGCCCTTAGACATTCATCCTGTTATGCAGGATGGGCAAATTCTATCTAGGCCATTCATGTCCCTCAACTGTCTTTATGGTAATTCAGTTACAAACAATGTTAGATCTGCAATAAAGTACTCGACTCTACATTTAGGGTCCATAGTGGTTTCAGGTCGAAGGGTGGTATACACCATTATCACCATAAGAGTAAATTATAACACTTTACATAACATTCTATGTAGTACTCTCATAGCGGGTCAATCCAGTTTAAATATTACTCCTAATATTGATACCTATGTTAAGACTTGATAACTCCTTATCCATGATCCATATATGTGATCATCAGTCTATCTACATAATAGTCTTAATGCTTTAAGGTTATCCCACTTCACAGTTGTTAGATGATGGCGCAGACCTAGAAGAGGAGTTGAATAGATCGCTTGTTTAAAAAAGAGTCGGCGCTACCAAAAAATTGATTTTCAAAATTGTTTAAGGCGAAAGCGGTCGAGGAACTATATTCGTCTAAAACGAACCTTTACCGAAAAAACCGGATATGCATAAAGCATATGGAATTCGATAAAATGAGATTTGAGAATCACTATTTTGATCACACTTCAATCAGATTTCGTTCAGTATACGGTGTGACTAGTTCCAATGCCTTTAAAATATAGACAATTTGAAAAGACAGCACAATTGTTTTTAGTTCACACAATTGATCAAACACTTGGAGTGCAAGGCACTACAAGTGAATTCTACTTTGAGATTAGAGTGCTCAAGTGTTCTATTACAATCAAGGATTGTATTGAGCTTAAAAATAATTCAGCACTACTCAAATCAAAATTTGATTGACTCAATCGTTTGCACTAAAAACTCAGAATTTAAGCAATATAAACGTGAAGAAAGAGACAACGATTTGTTGAGGCAGTTCCCCCGTCATCCTCGCTCGGGGTACGTCTGCACTCAATTCTAACAATAGAATTGAGACCTGTATATAGATAGATATAACCTGTTGGTCAATGTTTATACAAGAAGAAAATAGAGATCAAACAATCGAACACGATTTGTTGACGTAGAGCCTATTTCTTCTTGCCCCTTGATTCAAGTTGAATCAAGTCCTTCGAACGCAGTGAGAAAACCTCTGACTACGACACTTCCTTTGAACAACCCCACGGTCTTCAAATATGGCCCGATTGATTTCAGTCACCCACGTTTCGAACCCGAATCTTCCACTCATAATCCTCCGTTTACCGCTACTAAACCGACATAACCTCCCGCTCTTCGATTACCTTCGCTCGACTGAATCTGTGATGGACCGATTCATGCAAAAACCCCCAAAATCCAAGATTCTTGGAGGACAAAACCCTAACAGTTTTATTCAAGAAAAACCTGTTGATTACTTAACCCAAACTAGATTACACCAATCCTAGGCTTTGGACGTTATCACCTCGAACATGCACAATGCACAACAAAAATGATTATGTGTAGTTTTTGTGAAATGCTATGAAGAGGATAAAGATGATGAGAACGAATCAGCATGTAAATTTCACTTTTCTTGTTTTCTTAGTTCATGTGAAAGGAAGAGCATAACTCACCTTATATAGAAGACATAACTGACTTAACAAACATAACAAACACCAAAACTGTTTTACATAACTGAATTTTGACTAAACAACAGCGAGCGGTCGACCTATGCAGAAAAGGGGTCAACCTGAGTTTACCCGTATTCCTTATTGTGCAAAAATTAGAACCTTGCATCGACCGGAGCAGTTCATGCGTCGATGCAAAGCATGTAAATTTAGACAAATTCAAATGGTCACAGTATGAGTCGATCAGAGGATCGACGTGAGCCCTTCTGAGAGTAGTTCATTAAAAATGCTATCTGTATGAGTCGACCGGAGCTATCTTTGAGTCGACTCGAAGCCCTGAAATAGGCAAAAAATACCTATTTTCATGTATCAAGACATTTTTGATGAACTCTATAACATGGTAAGCTTGACTACCTTGACCAATCCTACATGAGACATAGATTTAGCCATTTCTATATGCACAAATCATGTATTTGACGAGTGTTTGACTTATGAGGGACACGACATGCAAATGTGACACGATGATACAATCCAAGGTACATTTTTCCATCAATCTCAGTTTTGACATCATTGAAACAAGTGCAAATACCTATGAGAAATGCCCTCACATACAGTAAATCTCGACTACAGATACTTTAAGAATAATGTCCTTATGTTTAGTGAAATCTCATGATTAAGTCACATTTAATATTTCATTAAACGGACTAGCTATTCTAGGGATTTTATTATCTTGGAAAAACAAACATAATAAAGAAATGTCTTTTATTATTAATTAATAATTCGATACAAGTACCAAAAGTAATGGCCTATAGGGCTTACACTAACAATATCCCACTAGCACTAGAGCCAATCAGGCATACCCCTAATGCCCATAGACCTAGTATAGCCACCACGCTTCTGCCGTGCAAAAGGCTTTGTTAGTGGGTCAACAATATTGTTAAGTGTAGGTACTCTACATATCTTCACATCTCTCCGGTCTATTATCTCTCAAATGAGGTGATATCGCCTAAGTATGTGTTTAGATCGTTGGTGATATCTAGGCTCCTTAGCTTGTGTTATAGCACAATTGTTATCATAATAGAGATCAATGAGATCCATAATGCTAGGGACTATGCCAACACTACGCCAAAATTGATTTTTTGTATCACCTACTTTAATAGCGCTTTTGAAATAAGCGCTATTAAAAAAGAAACAAACATATTTATAATAGCGCTTTATAGTAAAGCGCTATTAAAGAGTACAGAGAATAAGATTTTAATAGCACTTTGTAAAGAAGCGCTATTATAGATATTCACTAAGATAGCGCTTTTCTAAAAAGCGCTATTAAAATGTTGTATTACAATAGCACTTTTATAAAAGCGCTATTATTAAAAGAACTACGATAGCGCTTTTTAAAAATCGCTATTAAAATATGTAACTACAATAGCGCTTTCTATGGAACCGCTATCGTTTCTATAATTGTGTTTTAAGATAGCGATTTTTTAAAAAGCGCTATTAAAATATTCCACTAAATTAAATTAATTAAAATATGAAAACCTGCCCAAATGTTTTTTGTTTTCTCCCACGCAAAATTCATCAGCTCACGGCCACCGCAAAATTCATCAGCTCACCCACTCAAAATTCTTTCTCCCACGCAAAATTCATCAGCTCACCACCGTCATCCTTCTCCGTCGAAAGGAGCCGCCGTCATCAGCTCACCACCGTCACCCTTCTTTTCATTGATATCCGGTAATCTTTCTTTTTCTCAGATTATTGCTTTGTGTTAAATTGTAAAATTAGGGATTTGAATGCTTTGTGGTGTAATTATGACCGGTAAAATTAGGGATTTGAATGCTTTGTGTTGTAATTTGTGTTAGTAATTTG